TTAGAAGAGATGCCGATTTTGCAATCAATACTGGCCCACAGACGGGTGAGACAGCTACATATTGAATATTATTATAATTAGAAGTATTTCTTATTCCTTACTCGAGCCACTCATGAAAATTGGACATTCATGTCATGCCTTTGCCATCTTAGGCATGAGGGGATTTAGAAGTGGGTATACCTGAAAAATAAGTAGGTAGGTACCCTGTACTACACCACTGGCCACAAGACGCTGTGACTACTCCATCAAGAGTGAGATAGTCCTTCCAAGTATTTCATCAGCAGTTGTTTGAGTCAAGTTTTTTCATGTTGATTGAGAGGCTTTTCAAAAAATGTGATAGGGTAGGGTGTGTAACACATGCCTCATATACTGTATCTATATGTACAATATATGATACAAACTCACGTCTTTACTCCTCTGTGCAGCGCCTGGCATACGAGTGCCTCTCCCAGAGCATTGACAGCGCCAAACATTCACCCAACCTGGTCCCAACAGCCACCAAGCCAGACACAGTGCAGACGGAGTCCATGTCTTATGCCCAGTACCTCGGCATGATCAAGTCTCAGATTTCCTGCGCCAAAGATATCCACAACGCTTTGCTGGAGTGTTCCAAGAAGATTGCAGGAAAGGGACAGCCTCAGGGAATCATGTAGACCTGGACCTGACTACCCCAACTCTTTTTGCATCCGATGGCATTTTTGTGCGAGATGATGGATTTCATATTTGGCACTGCCCCATATTCAGAACTTAGTTTTTGCGCTACATTGGTCAAGATGCTGTTTTATTTCTCAAGATCCTGTATATTTGTTTTTTCTGTTTTTTTTTTTTTTAAGTTATGTTTCTTATAAACACGCTGTGTAAATATTTCTGACAATAAGTCCTGTTGTAAGATGACCAGCAGGTGGTGGCAGAGTTGTAACTGCCAACTCAATATTCACAAGTCTTTTTGTAGCTTATTTGTATTGAAAATTAAAACCTTTCTACTGATTATAATGTTTCTAATTATTCAAGATGCACACAGGAACCCGTCTGAGGAGGATGTAATGTTAGAGAATGACTCATAAAACCAAAATGGCATTGGCTGCGGATGTAGGTGCTATCCAGACTATATATAGGAAGATTATCTAAAAGCAAAGACTCATTTGTTAAAGTGTAAAGGCAGATTACCAAACATAGTTTCATTTGACTATTTTGTCCTGAGATTTAATACTGGAAGTCGTAAAAGGGTAGAAAATGTCAGACTTTATAGTATAGAGGCAGTAGAATAAAGTATCGTCAATAAAAGCAGTCACAGGCAATGAGCGATAGCCAGTCTCTTTGTCCTGTGAAAGAAGCATCTGGCGTGACTCCTATTGAAGCAGTAATGTTGATATACTGGGGCCTCAATAGTAGCCTGGGAACGTACTGGGGTATTTAAGAGTTTGGGGGGGAAAGGAGAGGTTAAAAAATCCCTTAATTGTACTAAAAGCACTGTTTATTGGAGTTGCTAAGATTTCCAGGGTGTCAGTGAACATATAATTTGTGTGAGAAAGTGTTCCTGTGATTGGCAGAGTTTGGGGGGGGGGATGTTGCTCTATGTTGTCCTCCGTGACAAATCAGACAGGCATACATTAAGTGTTAATTTTTCAACACCTGAAGAAGTTCTCTTGAACGGCTCATCTTCCATGTTATATAAACATACCAAGCAGAGCGCCCTGTATTCCTGGACTGAGCGAGGACTCAGCTTACACTTGGATCCCTGTTGAGATATATATTGGTCAGGGGCTCCTTGATTCCTTCGTATCTGTGTTGAAGCTATGGGATTAATGAAGTCTGATACACAAGCACGTGAGAGGGGAGCCTGGTGTGCTTGCAGCTGTGTTACATCTCAGACCAATCTGAGCTACTGACAAGTGCTTGGATCCAAAAATACTACCCTGGGTCACTACTAAACGGGCACACTGAGAGGTTCATCACAATACGGGCTCACACCCACAGACTCTCCGAAAACATACAGTCACATACAAACAGAGACTGACACAAAACACCAGATTAATCTTCACATTTTTATTTCCAGACAATAGTCTGTGCTGACACAGAACTTAGTTTTAAAGCTTGAAAAAATATACAAGAACAAAGCTAGAATTATTGAGAATAATCCAGACGTCAAGGTAGTGTGCAATGCAGCACGGAGTTCTTCAGATGAAAAACAAAATAAACCAAAGTAACATAGAAAAAGGGAAGAGCATTTTTTTCTTTTTACAAAGATTACAGCAGATAAAATACACATATCTAGAGCATTGGGTACTAGACAATATAATTACAAAAAGACAATTTAGACATTGTCTAAGTGCGTTAGTGGATTTCACACAGTCATTGAGTCACTACATTTTGTGTCTTGCAGGAGAGAAACAGATAATATCATCAGAAAACCTTACATAGAGCAAATTATATTCATCTGATGCAAAATCATATCAATTAATTGCTCTCTGAATGTTTGTATAATGATAACTAGTGCTTATGGCCCTTCATATATTTTTTACAATGTATGAGTGTATTTGAATCTGTTTCAATACCACTACATCCATACAAATACTAATGACCCTTTTAGTTTCCTGTTTTTTGTGAAAGATGAAGGACCCTCTGTACCTTTTTTGTAATGTTCTATGAGCGTATAAGAGTTAATACTGTTAAAGTTTTATAGCTGCATTATTTGCATGTTCTACAGCCAGCACACTACAAATCGCATACAGTATAATTCACATTCCTGTCAACCATTCTCCAAAGCATACCACCGGACTTGCAAAGACTTTAAAGATACAATTCCTGATTCTGTTTCAGTGCCTCGCCACAAATGTCTGGCCATGTTTATGTTTTCAGAATCAAGTATGAAGTGCGAGGAGTAATTTTACACATGAAAAAGCGGAATAAATGTCTGCTGTAATGGGACAGCCATCTTTCAGTGTGCTTCAGTTCTTTGGAAAATGGGCAGCATTCATGTGAAACTTAGTCTCCTAAATAATACAAAATCTGGGTCAGTTCCTTCTGATTCTGTCCATCTTGTTGATGAAACCAGTGTGTGTGTGTCTGTGTACAGAGCATGAGGGTGTACTATATGATGGTTCAAAGACTTTAATAAGCACACAAGCGGATGTTTTTACTGCTTTGTGGAGTTTGAGCCTTTCACTTTGCTTTCACCCATACCCTTGCCCTTTGGTTGGTCTCTGTGGAAAATACAAAACAAGGTAAATGATCACAGTTCTAAAGCTAAAATAACTTCAGTGTTATAACATGATAATATACTTAATAAAGCATACTGTATGTGTGCTATCAGCCACTCCCACTTGTTTGTCATTTGAGCCTGAACTGCAGATTCTGGCCTGTCTTCAACACTACATGGAGTCTGAGCATGTAATACTGACCTGTGGGCCTGCTCAGAGCCGGTGAGGGCTGCCTGGTGAACACCACGGCGTTTGGGTTCCTCCAGGCGAGACATGGGGACAGATGGTTGAAACTTGGACACCTCCTGCTGCCACTCATCGTCAAAAGATTGCGCTTCAGCTAAGGGTGGAGGATCAGGATCATGTTAGGCAACTTACTGTACGTCTATCATTGTATTTGTGTCTTGGTTTTTCAAAATATTGTGAGTCACTTTAACGTACATTCATCCAGGTTCTCAAAGTCCTGGATGAACTCTTTCTCTCCTGTTTTATTGTTGAATTTCTTCTCAACAACATGTCCCCTGTCTTGGATGTGGTGACCAATGGCCATCTTCTCCAGACCACTCTCAGAGTCTTTAATTGCTCGCCGGGTCTCCTTGATCTGGTTGATAAAACATTATCAAACCTATCAGACACATTAATTAGTCCATGAAAAGGCAGACTAATTCCAGAGATAGATATATGTTTTTTTCCTTTACTATTTACATGAAACATCGCACCATAAAGTAGACAGTTGGACAGTTTGACTAGTCAAACACAAGTGTGGCTAATAATAGTATGAATGGCTACATTCCATTTAGGAGTGCCAGTTCCAAGGCCCTGGTATTGTGCATGTAGGTTCACCAAAATTATTTTTAGCACACCTTAATGGAACAGAGCCATCATATGCCACTGGGAGAAGAGTTTGCCTGCGATAATGTTCTCATAAGGAAAGGCCAGGGGGAAGTTATCACCACGATCACTCAGGAAGAACTGAATAAGTGATTCCTCACACAAATGTACTTCTCCGAGTTCAATGTACTGAACTGTGCTCTGATGTACTGGGATACTTACGCCTCCAGGGGCGCATCGTGTCGATGAGCTCGCCTGGAAGACCTTGGGAGGCTCATTTCCAACCTTTGAAAATGTCATGACTGATGAGGAGCTGAAGGAGTGGGTGTTCTGTGAATCTGTGGACATGTTCTCCTGAAACACACAAACACAACACTGTCAAGCAACTACAGTTTATGTACCTCCGGCGGTGTGAGAAAGCAGCAGAACAAAAGGAAAGACGACAACACAACACCATTACATGAGTAAACTCACAAAGTTTCTGTGCATCTCCTCCATCCTGTTCCTCACGTTGGCCATCACGTTGTCGAACACGCCGAAGGGGTTCCTCATCATGTCCTGCGCAAACACAAAAGGAAAAACAACAGCCAAAGGCCAGAGGACTTCAATGGCTGGGCTCGTATGCCACATGGTCGCTAGGTGTTATCAGCTCGTAAACAACTGCATCATGTGTACAAACACACATGCACAGGGTACAGTGTGCTAAATGTGTCTTGCATGTGTGCTATCTGGGACACTGTAACCAGGACATTCACATTTTGTCACTCCACAATACATGACCTAGTTGTGACATTCATAACAAAACTAGAAACCAAGGCCAGCATGCAAATAAACATGTGTTTATGTCTTTATTTAGGGTCTATCCTGTATAGAGAATTTAAAGATGGCCAACTTGGTCCAACTCCGTGCTGCTTGGACCATCAATCTTTGTCAATAATTTGAAAAATCTGAAAAAAGACACTGAATGAAACGCATCAAATTGACTGCATGTTTGATAAAGTTTGGATTTATTGCAGAGCATTTAATAGAAAAGATAGAACATATTTAATAATAATATTTGTTGGCCACCATGTAGACTGTGTTATTTAAATTTAAAACACATTTTAATCCTTGTCGTTATTAAACAAATCCAAAGAACCTCATGGGACTGGATTGCAACTTAAATGCCATGTTAGTTCCTAGGATCCAGTGCACGTTCACATCTTTTTCCTATTCAATTTTATTCTATTTGCCTGATTTTGAGCAAGGAAAAACTGTGTACAGCACTCAAGTCAGTCATGCGTGTCACAGTAAGATGCCATCAATCATCATGCACTCCAAATATGTTCTTAGATATTCTGTAAGCGTGCATCTTTTAAAATGGAAACAAAAATGAAAGAGAGAGATGCATCATCAGCAGGCCTCATTAAAATAGACTCAAAGGAACAAGGGTGATAATGTTGCAGTGAAGAACAAAAAAAGAGTAGATTTTGCAAACCTTAAGAGGCAACCCACTGGTCATTCCACATACTGGTCACAGTGTTTTCGCAACAATTATTTTTTTCGAGGGGGTGTAACAACAGGTTAGTTGGTTATGGTCAAAATGTTCCCTAAATTCTGCAAATGACTTAAACTTGGTGCCTCATTATATAATGCAGTGTGTCGACCAGGCTTTTAAAAATATGATGTAAAATGTGATGGTCTAATTTGAGGAGAATGTTGAGGAAACACTGTGACCACTTCACTGACCGCTTCAAGTCAATAAGTAACGGAAAGAGTCAGTTAAAGAGTTAGAGCATGCACTTGGCCAGTATGGATTTAAGTAGGACACTCATATGATAGTGTAGTCTAACAGCAGAGGACTCTACTGACCGTGCTGTCAATACTGCCAAAGGGCAACAGTGACCGGCTCATATCCTGAGGATTCAAACAATATTAGTTTAGTAAAACAGCATCATATTGTACTTGTACATGTTACACACACACAAATTCCGAGGGCTTTTTGCGTGTTTTGTTGAGGTTGCTGCCAGCGAGCTGTTAGGTTGTCTTACATCGGTCACTAAGCCCTTGACACAGCTACACAGCACTCTTCCCATGGCCTTCAGCACAACTCTTCAAGGCCTGGAACCCTCTAGGAGTGACAGGCCAGTGAGGAGAGAGCAGCCTGCTGACTTCAGTCAGACGCTGTGTTCTCTGGGCCAAAACCTCAGGTGTTTATGACCCTGCGGCCCTGGATAAGCATCTCAACAGTCATCGCTATGTGTGTGATGCGCAGGGCTATTGTGCATAATCAGTGGGGTGTTGAATGACTTGTGTTCCATGTGTAATTGGGTCGCATTGCCAGAGATTAGCGTGGGTTTAACACTGAAACTGAGCTTCATTCTAGGAAGGCTGCAGTGGGCTGGATGGACCAGTCAGGACAGGGATCTAACAGGGGTCAAAGAGTCCAAGGCTGCCCTCCTCAGCTCTTTTCAAATGTCAAGCTGATGTACAACGCTCCTGACCAGTATCTATGAAGCCTCACAGCCAATTTTATCCCAGAGTGGCATGTATGAACTAATAAATGCCAGTTACATATCTGCCAGCATTATATTTAGACAGGGGTTGAGCAGAGGAGAGATTGAGGGTGCAAAGTAAGGAACGTAGACCCAGTGGTCTTTAACACATTATTTTAGGCTGTCTGGACAACTGCAGATTGACATTCTCTTTTCTAACTCTCTCTCAATCTGATATTGAACCTGCCACTGTGCCCCCCGAGGCAGGCTGCTCCTGCTCCCGGGGAAGCTATGAGTTACGCCATAGTGTACGTGTACTGTATATATGATTTAAAAGGCAAAGTGAGGTTGTACTGCAAATCCATAGCTCCTAGGAAGTGGGGCATCACCAGGGAGTTAGTGGCATTTTGTTAAATTTGAAGACCACAGAGAAGATAAGGAGGCACTGAATCTCATTACGGTGACTGTGATGTTTTTACTGCTGGTGTAAGTGAATAACAGGTGTATGAACTACTTAGTTTTACATTGCCAAACTTTTCTTTCCACATTATTTTGAGTGTCAGTGCAGGGGGAAAATCTGACTTAAAGGGTATACATGTACAACAAAGACAACATCAGCTCTACCTATGCTAGTTAAGGCCTTTCCCCAGCCCTAGCACCAGTAGTCTTGCTCATTACAAACCACATAATTAAAGAGTCAAACTCAGAATGATGCTTGATTGTCATTCGACAGTACTTTTATAAACTAGAGCTCAGATGAATGAGTGCTTTGAAAGGTGATATAAAACAGGCTGTGCATTTTGGCAAGAGACTGGGAAATGTGAGAACTCATAACAGCCTTGGAAGGTAAGATGGGGCTTATTTTCCCATTGGGAATCTAATGCTTAGCAAACTAATACAAGAAGAATAATGCCCTTCTGGTATTATGTGGTCAATGTATGCATATTCGCGTGTGAGTGTATCTGCACGTCAGCGTGTCTGGGTTTTATTTTGCATGCTGTGACTGTGTGTAATTGTGCTTGTAAGCATGTTTAGTTTGTGTGTGTTTATGTACACATTTATGTGTGCACACTTGTGCCTGTGATATTGGAGAGCAGTATGAGAGTGGGCTGTCTGTCATCTAGCTGCTAATGCACCAGCACTGCCAAGACACGTTCTGCCAAACAGATGGACCAAAAGAGCAACAATGAGAAAACAGAGTGTCCATGACATCCGCACACATGCCTTTCCAAAGCCAACAACTCCACACCAGAGCTTCAGCCCTCTGACCACTGCTGAGAACCACAAGACTGGCCCTTATCTTCAGATAAACGAGTGGGAGTGGGTGTTAGAGAGCAGAGAGTTCTGTGATAAAAACTGTGAATCAGTATGGTGATTCAGTTAACCTTAATTACATGTATCTTACCATAAAGTAGGTTTATTGTTAGTGACAATTATCAAAAGGCAAAGATCTCACAACTGTGTCTCCTATCCAAACGTATGTGCATAAATCAAGGAATCCTTGTATCATAAACAGACCTCAGAAATTAATATTTTAATTGTTAATTGCTGCAACTTTTCATCCAGCTCTGAGGAACCATGCCTTGTTTTTGTGCTGCACAAACTCCACTCCTGATACATAATTTAATCTTTCGTGAACTCCTCATAATATCCCGTTCCATAAAAAGGAAAAAACTCAGATTCTGTAATTTCATACTCAAGAAAAAAACAATATCTTGTCAAAAACATTTGAAACACATACAAAAACAGTACATTACTCCTAATATTAGATTAAATAATTTGTTTTGGATGGACATTTTGCAGTGTAGCTCCATTTCACCCACTGTCACTGAGGTCATTAATCAAGTACGCAGAGCCCCAACTCAGCTGGCATTAGCTAGTTAATGGCATGATGCTAATAAAGAGAAAGCGAGTTGCTGGCTATTGAAGCTAGACTTCTGATGAAAGTCATTATCAAGGATAAATATACAGGCTCTCATGAGGTAGTGGGATTAAAGCAGTTGACAGGGACTACGTTTGACTTAGCAGGGATATAAAGGCAGTACAGGGGCTGGTTTGATTTGAGAAAGGTTAATGGGTGCAAAACATGGCAGGCCCAAACTATCCCTCTGCCTATCTACCTGCCTTTTCACGACAATGCTGCACAAATAACGTTCCTGAACAGTTGGTCTCTAAAAAGGCCACAGCTTTTACAACCTTATCCTGTATGAAAGTGTATAATATGTATATAGATCTAGATATATATAGATATAAAAAAGATATTTGGGGAGACAGTTATATTTGAAGACAAACTATATTTCTAGTTAACATGACAACTAGAATGATGTCATAATAAACTGTTATTTTCAGCAGGAGCTCGCCTCTGCAGAGCAAAGCAGAATTCTCTGAGGTCCTTTTGGTTTGAGCGTTAAAGAAGTCTGTGCGTGTATTCGCGAGAAAGCAGTGTGTCAGTGGAACAATGCACTATAAATAGGGCTCCTGAGGGCCAGATATAACTGTCCAGAGAGGCAAGGGGGTTGCCCTTCCACTAAACCAGAGACTCACATGGCCCCATACCTCAGTGAGTGGTGCTCCAGTTACGCTGCCAGTGGCCAGCTTCCACTATAACCTTTGTAAACTAAGCACTTCCTCCAAACATTCATATTCTGTGGTTATAAGCCCATGAGCAGTGGACAGAGAGGGTCAAAAGGGCACAACTGTACGAGCAAACTCCTTAAACATCAAACATCATCCTCCTTCACACATTGACACAAATTCTACGTATGTAGGTCAGTCACGTGTCTGTACACACATATGTAATACACCGGGTAGAGCTTTATTGCCTATTACTAGAGTCCACAAGTAGACCAACAATTGCAAAAGAAGTTCTTCAGGAAAGGCATGTTCTCACCCTCTGTTCCCTCAGCGCTGGGAATGAGCTAGGATGTTCAACCATTTCACGACCACGGCTTCTCCCGTCCATTATACTGGGCATTAAGGCCCCACCGAATGGCTCGGAGAAGCTACGCATCATCTGCCGCATATGTTCCCTGTGGGCCCGGAAAGGATCCCTGTGGCACACGGAGAGAAAGTAAAAACAGGGTGAAAATCAACATTCACCAACTCAAAGCAACTCTGCACAATGATACTGAGGGCTGGCAACCATGAGAAAGTTTCCTGGAGAGGAAAAATAAAAAATGTCTCTACACCACATACTCCTCTATATAGTGGCTTGCATAACCTATGCCAGCTTGGAGCCCATTACTGAATTCTTCAATGAACACAACACATGAAATAAGAAGCACTCCTAAAATAATTTCAACCACCCTTACACTCGCCTTAGAAGTCGGGTCAAGTGTGGCCACATTAACTCAGCAGGTGTTCACTCAGGCAATGAGTCAAAGTGAATGCTAGCACACAGTGTCAGCGTACATAGTTATTCAGAAATGATCAATAAGTATTTATTCTCTCTAAGCTGTGCTGGAAAAAACCTATTTTTATTTCTTTCCTTAAATGAAACATCAAAATGTAAAGTAGCTAAATGGACACCAAATAATCTTTTAAGCTTACTTAATAAAAAAAATATAAAGTTACATAAAAATCAGTAATTGTCTTTACGGCAATCATTCTGTCTTACAGCAGCTGTTGCTAGGTAACNNTAATAAAATAAATAAAATAATAATGTTTATAATTTAAATTCAAATTCTTTCTCAATATAAAATATGTAGGAAGCCATATTTTATTATTTTAGCTTACAAATGTTGTTAAATGTTAAACAGTGAGAGTTAGAGTTAGGCTCAATATGTCAATGTCTCATTTGAATAAAAATACAAACTAATTCAAAGTGGAACTAGTGGAAGGTTTAGTTACCTCTTCGACTGTAGTTTACTCCTTTATTTAACATTAGCCTGGTTAAAACATAATAACGTTAGCTTTCAGCTTTACTAGCTCGTGGACATACTTTAGAGTTTGTTTGTTTGTTTGTTTGTTTGTTTGTTTGTCTGGGTTTCCTATGCACAGTCCTAAAGTTGAAGTCCCTCAAATGCTTTTCATTGCCGTGATAAACTGCTTTGGAGCTCATTTTAATCGATGCATTATGAGAACCTACAAGCCAAAACATGCTGAAATATAATAACTAAAATTAACTTATAATAATTACAATAACAGTTAACAGAAGTTCAGTTCAGCTACTCACGAAAAGAACGGATCCTCATCAACCTCCCTGAGATTACTGTTGAACATTTCCACGGATATTTTCTGAAGTTGTAAACAAGAACTTTATTGGGGGCTTTCTCCAGAAATAATCCGCTGTGCCGCCGCAGGTGTCCAGCTCCACCGCTCAGCCTCGGTGTGGTACTACGGAGGAGGGGGCCTGCGACGGGATTTAGAACCTAACTCACCCCGAAACCGGCCACGTGATGCGAATCCGGCCCTAGGATTGGCTGATATTCGGCAGGTTCTATCCGCGGGCGTCGTGTTGTGTGTGTGTGTGTGT